CAATTAGAACAACTGAAGAAGGCACTAGTACCACGCCAGCAAGCGGGCATTCAAGCATATCACCAGTAACAATTAGAACAACTGAAGAAGAAGGCACTAGTACAACGCCAGCAAGCGGGCATTCAAGCGTATCACCAGTAACAATTAGAACAACTGAAGAAGAAGGCACTAGTACAACGCCAGCAAGCGGGCATTCAAGCGTATCACCAGTAACAATTAGGACAACTGAAGAAGAAGGCACTAGTACAACGCCAGCAAACGGGCATTCAAGCGTATCACCAGTAACAATTAGAACAACTGAAAAAGAAGGCACCAGTACGACGCCAGCAAGCGGGCATTCAAGCGTATCACCAGTAACAATTAGAACAACTGAAGAAGAAGGCATTAGTACGACGCCAGCAAGCGGGCATTCAAGCGTATCACCAGTAACAATTAGGACAACTGAAGTAGAAGGCACTAGTACGACACCAGCAAGCGGGCATTCAAGCGTATCACCAGTAACAATTAGAACGACAACTCAAGAAGAAGGCACTAGTACGACGCCAGCAAGCGGGCATTCAAGCGTATCACCAGTAACAATTAGAACGACAACTCAAGAAGAAGGCACTAGTACAACGCCAGCAAATGGGCATTCAAGCGGATCACCAGTAACAATTAGAACAACTGAAGAAGAAGGCACTAGTACGACACCAGCAAGCGGGCATTCAAGCGTATCACCAGTAACAATTAGAACAACTGAAGAAGGCACTAGTACCACGCTAGCAAGCGGGCATTCAAGCATATCACCAGTAACAATTAGAACAACTGAAGAAGAAGGCACTAGTACAACGCCAGCAAGCGGGCATTCAAGCGTATCACCAGTAACAGTTAGAACAACTGCAGAAGAACGCACTAGTATAACGCCAGCAAGCGGGCATTCAAGCGTATCACCAGTAACAATTAGAACAACTGAAGAAGAAGGCACCAGAACGACGCCAGCAAGCGGGCATTCAAGCGTATCACCAGTAACAATTAGAACGGCAACTCAAGAAGAAGGCACTAGTACGACGCCAGCAAGCGGGTATTCAAGCGTATCACCAGTAACAATTAGAACAACTGAAGAAGAAGGCACTAGTACGACGCCAGCAAGCGGGCATTCAAGCGTATCATCAGTAACAATTAGATCAACTGAAAAAGAAGGCACTAGTACGACGCCAGCAAGTGGGCATTCAAGCATATCACCTGTAACAATTAGAACAACAACTGAAGAAGAAGGCACTAGTACGACACCAGCAAGCGGGCATTCAAGCATATCACCAGTAACAATTAGAACAACTCAAGAAGAAGGCATTAGTACAACGCCAGCAAGCGGGCATTCAAGCATATCACCAGTAACAATTAGAACAACTGAAGAAGAAGGCACTATTACAACGCCAGCAAGCGGGCATTCAAGCGTATCACCAGTAACAATTAGAACAACTGAAGAAGAAGGCACTAGTACGACGCCAGCAAGCGGGCATTCAAGCGTATCACCAGTAACAATTAGAACAACTGAAGAGGGCACTAGTACCACGCCAGCAAGCGGGCATTCAAGCTTATCACCAGTAACAATTAGAACAACTGAAGAAGGCACTAGTACCACGCCAGCAAGCGGGCATTCAAGCATATCACCAGTAACAATTAGAACAACTGAAGAAGAAGGCACTAGTACAACGCCAGCAAGCGGGCATTCAAGCGTATCACCAGTAACAATTAGAACAACTGAAGAAGAAGGCACTAGTACGACGCCAGCAAGCGGGCATTCAAGCGTATCACCAGTAACAATTAGAACAACTGAAGAGGGCACTAGTACCACGCCAGCAAGCGGGCATTCAAGCTTATCACCAGTAACAATTAGAACAACTGAAGAAGGCACTAGTACCACGCCAGCAAGCGGGCATTCAAGCGTATCACCAGTAACAATTAGACCAACTGAAGAAGAAGGCACTAGTACGACGCCAGCAAGCGGGCATTCAAGCGTATCACCAGTAACAATTAGAACAACTGAAGAAGAAGGCACTAGTACGACGCCAGCAAGCGGTCATTCAAGCGTATCACCAGTAACAATTAGAACAACTGAAGAAGAAGGCACTAGTACGACGCCAGCAAGCGGGCATTCAAGCGTATCACCAGTAACAATTAGAACGACAACACAAGAAGAAGGCACTAGTACGACGCCAACAAGCGGGCATTCAAGCGTATCACCAGTAATAATTAGAACAACAACACAAGAAGAAGGCACTAGTACGACGCCAGCAAGCGGGCATTCAAGCGTATCACCAGTAACAATTAGAACAACTGAAAAAGAAGGCACTAGTACGACGCCAGCAAGTGGGCATTCAAGCGTATCACCAGTAACAATTAGAACTACTGAAGAAGAAAGCACTAGTACGACGCCAGCAAGCGGGCATTCAAGCGTATCACCAGTAACGATTAGAACAACTGAAGAAGACACTAGTACGACGCCAGCAAGCGGGCATTCAAGCGTATCACCAGTAACAATTAGAACAACTGAAGAAGACACTAGTACGACGCCAGCAAGCGGGCATTCAAGCGTATCACCAGTAACAATTAGAACTACTGAAGAAGAAAGCACTAGTACGACGCCAGCAAGCGGGCATTCAAGCGTATCACCAGTAACAATTAGAACGGCAACTCAAGAAGAAGGCACTAGTACAACGACAGCAAGCGGTCATTCAAGCATATCACCAGTAACAATTAGAACAACAACTGAAGAAGAAGGCACTAGTACGACACCAGCAAGCGGGCATTCAAGCGTATCACCAGTAACAATTAGAACTACTGAAGAAGAAAGCACTAGTACGACGCCAGCAAGCGGGCATTCAAGCGTATCACCAGTAACGATTAGAACAACTGAAGAAGACACTAGTACGACGCCAGCAAGCGGGCATTCAAGCGTATCACCAGTAACAATTAGAACAACTGAAGAAGAAGGCACTAGTACAACGCCAGCAAGTGGGCATTCAAGCGTATCACCAGTAACAATTAGAACGGCAACTCAAGAAGAAGGCACTAGTACAACGACAGCAAGCGGTCATTCAAGCATATCACCAGTAACAATTAGAACAACTGAAGAAGGCACTAGTACGACACCAGCAAGCGGGCATTCAAGCGTATCACCAGTAACAATTAGAACGGCAACTCAAGAAGAAGGCACTAGTACTAGTACGACGATACCAAGCACCGACGATTCAAGCGTATCACCAGTAACAATTAGAACAACTCAAGAAGAAGGCACTAGTACGACGCCAGCAAGCGGGCATTCAAGCGTATCACCAGTAACAATTAGAACGGCAACTCAAGAAGAAGGCACTAGTACAACGACAGCAAGCGGTCATTCAAGCATATCACCAGTAACAATTAGAACAACTGAAGAAGGCACTAGTACGACACCAGCAAGCGGGCATTCAAGCGTATCACCAGTAACAATTAGAACGGCAACTCAAGAAGAAGGCACTAGTACGACGCCAGCAAGCGGGCATTCAAGCGTATCACCAATAACAATTAGAACAACTCAAGAAGAAGGCACTAGTACTAGTACGACGATACCAAGCACCGACGATTCAAGCGTATCACCTATAACAATTAGAACAACTGAAGAAGAAGGCACTAGTGCGACGCCAGCAAGCGGGCATTCAAGCGTATCACCAGTAACTATTAGAACAACTGAAGAAGGCACTAGTACGACGCCAGCAAGTGGGCATTCAAGCGTATCACCAGTAACAATTAGAACAACTGAAGAAGACACTAGTACGACGCCAGCAAGCGGGCATTCAAGCGTATCACCAGTAGCAATTAGAACAACTGAAGAAGAAGGCACTAGTACGACGCCAGCAAGCGGGCATTCAAGCGTATCACCAGTAACAATTAGAACAACTGAAAAAGAAGGCACTAGTACGACGCCAGCAAGCGGGCATTCAAGCGTATCACCAGTAACAATTAGAACGACAACTCAAGAAGAAGGCACTAGTACGACGCCAGCAAGCGGGCATTCAAGTGTATCACCAGTAACAATTAGAACGACAACACAAGAAGAAGGCACTAGTACGACGCCAGCAAGCGGGCATTCAAGCGTATCACCAGTAACAATTAGAACAACTGAAGAAGAAGGCACTAGTACGACGCCAGCAAGCGGGCATTCAAGCGTATCACCAGTAACAATTAGAACAACTGAAGAAGAAGGCACTAGTACGACACCAGCAAGCGGGCATTCAAGCGTATCACCAGTAACAATTAGAACGACAACTCAAGAAGAAGGCACTAGTACTAGTACGACGATAGCAAGCACCGACGATTCAAGCGTATCACCAGTAACAATTAGAACGACAACTCAAGAAGAAGGCACTAGTACGACGCCAGCAAGCGGGCAATCAAGCGTATCACCAGTAACAATTAGAACGGCAACTCAAGAAGAAGGCACTAGTACGACGCCAGCAAGCGGGCATTCAAGCGTATCACCAATAACAATTAGAACAACTGAAGAAGGCACTAGTACGACGCCAGCAAGCGGGCATTCAAGCGTATCACCAGTAACAATTAGAACAACTGAAGAAGACACTAGTACGACGCCAGCAAGTGGGCATTCAAGCATATCACCAGTAACAATTAGAACAACAACTGAAGAAGGCACTAGTACCACGCCAGCAAGCGGGCATTCAAGCATATCACCAGTAACAATTAGAACAACTGAAGAAGAAGGCACTAGTACAACGCCAGCAAGCGGGCATTCAAGCGTATCACCAGTAACAATTAGAACAACTGAAGAAGAAGGCACTAGTACAACGCCAGCAAGCGGGCATTCAAGCGTATCACCAATAACAATTAGAACAACTGAAGAAGGCACTAGTACGACGCCAGCAAGCGGGCGTTCAAGCGTATCACCAGTAGCAATTAGAACAACTGAAGAAGGCACTAGTACGACGCCAGCAAGCGGGCATTCAAGCGTATCACCAGTAACAATTAGAACAACTGAAGAAGAAGGCACTAGTACGACGCCAGCAAGCGGGCATTCAAGCGTATCACCAGTAACAATTAGAACAACTGAAGAAGAAGGCACTAGTACAACGCCAGCAAGCGGGCATTCAAGCGTATCACCAGTAACAATTAGAACAACTGAAGAAGAAGGCACTAGTAATGACGCCAGCAAAGCGGGCATTCAAGCGTATCACCAGTAACAATTAGAACGACAACTCAAGAAGAAGGCACTAGTACGACGCCAGCAAGCGGGCATTCAAGTGTATCACCAGTAACAATTAGAACGACAACACAAGAAGAAGGCACTAGTACGACGCCAGCAAGCGGGCATTCAAGCGTATCACCAGTAACAATTAGAACAACTGAAGAAGAAGGCACTAGTACAACGCCAGCAAGCGGGCATTCAAGCGTATCACCAGTAACAATTAGAACAACTGAAGAAGAAGGCACTAGTACGACGCCAGCAAGCGGGCATTCAAGCGTATCACCAGTAACAATTAGAACGACAACTCAAGAAGAAGGCACTAGTACGACGCCAGCAAGCGGACATTCAAGTGTATCACCAGTAACAATTAGAACGACAACACAAGAAGAAGGCACTAGTACGACGCCAGCAAGCGGGCATTCAAGCGTATCACCAGTAACAATTAGAACAACTGAAGAAGAAGGCACTAGTACGACGCCAGCAAGCGGGCATTCAAGCGTATCACCAGTAACAATTAGAACAACTGAAGAAGAAGGCACTAGTACAACGCCAGCAAGCGGGCATTCAAGCTGTATCACCAGTAACAATTAGAACAACTGGAAGAAGAAGGCACTAGTACGACGCCAGCAAGCGCGGGCATTCAAGCGTATCACCAGTAACAATTAGGAACGACAACTCAAGAAGAAGGCACTAGTACGACGCCAGCAAGCGGGCATTCAAGTGTATCACCAGTAACAATTAGAACGACAACACAAGAAGAAGGCATCTAGTACGACGCCAGCAAGCGGGCATTCAAGCCGTATCACCAGTAACAATTAGAACAACTGAAGAAGAAGGCACTAGTACGACGCCAGCAAGCGGGCATTCAAGCGTATCACCAGTAACAATTAGAACAACTGAAGAAGAAGGCACTAGTACGACACCAGCAAGCGGGCATTCAAGCGTATCACCAGTAACAATTAGAACGACAACTCAAGAAGAAGGCACTAGTACTAGTACGACGATAGCAAGCACCGACGATTCAAGCGTATCACCAGTAACAATTAGAACGACAACTCAAGAAGAAGGCACTAGTACGACGCCAGCAAGCGGGCAATCAAGCGTATCACCAGTAACAATTAGAACGGCAACTCAAGAAGAAGGCACTAGTACGACGCCAGCAAGCGGGCATTCAAGCGTATCACCAATAACAATTAGAACAACTGAAGAAGAAGGCACTAGTACGGCGCCAGCAAGCGGGCATTCAAGCGTATCACCAGTAACTATTAGAACAACTGAAGAAGGCACTAGTACGACGCCAGCAAGCGGGCATTCAAGCGTATCACCAGTAACAATTAGAACAACTGAAGAAGACACTAGTACGACGCCAGCAAGTGGGCATTCAAGCATATCACCAGTAACAATTAGAACAACAACTGAAGAAGGCACTAGTACGACGCAAGTGAGCGGGTATCCAAGCTTATCCACAGAAACCACTGGAATAACAAGTGAACAAGGCGCTAGTACAACAACTAAACTAACCGGGCTGCCAGGCGAACCCTCCGAAAAAGTAACAGGAATAAGTGAAGAAGGCGTTAGTACAACACCAGTAACCGAGAAACGAGAAGCGTCTTCCCATCTTACTACAGTAGAAAGCAGTAGTTCAACACTGGTACCCCCACTGGCAGTTACGGAATCTCAAACAACGCACAATATAGAAACCACTACGAAAGATACCATTGTGTCAATACAAAGCTGTTTTTCCATAATGGGTATGCTAAAATTTATTATTAAATCGTATTCTACCGCGAATTTACGTTTGTCGTGTGCAATGACAGTGATAGTACAACATATCTTTCTAGTAGACACATAATACTACCTTAATATTATTTCTTAATATTATCAATCATTCAATAAAAACAGGATATGGATAGTATTTAAAGTATCTCAATTTTTATTTTATTACTGGATTTTTGGAACTTTTTATTTATGGTGTTATATACCTAAAATTAATAGTTTTACTATTTTTTTAGAATTTATTTAAACAAATAATAGATTTCAGTGTGGTTAAAAATTGTCAGTTATTGTCGTTTCTGAAAGTGGACTACAAAAATTTGGTAGGAGAGTGTTATAGAAATGAAGGAAAATATATATTTAAAGATATCTTAGTTTGGGGGTACATGCTACAGGATGTTCAAAATATATTTGTATATTTCAACTACTTAAAATTAAAAAATCTGAAATTTTTTAAATGCTACACTAATATACCTTTTAAAAGTTGAAGGATTTTGTAAAGAAATCTATCAGAAAAAATTATAATATTATATTTAACATTATATACTAAAAAGTTATAGAATTTTACAGTAAATCTAAAAATAAAATAAAAAATATGGTGTTGCATTTAAAAAATATGGTATAATAACATATATATAAAGCTATTTCCACACTTTTTTGAGGCACCCTGTGTACTCCATAATAATTTTAAAATATGTATCTTAACCTTCCCTATAACTTTTATATTTAACATTTTTTTTTGTAAACCTCTAAACAAATGAGATAATGGACTTTACTCTTTCGTTGACTCACCCTGTAAATGAATAGAGAGTCTGGTATTTATGTTTAAATTGTGTTTATTATTTCCGTAGATCTTCCTTGTCCATCAGAGGGCCCTTTCCGTATGAATGATTCGTGTACTGATTATTACACATGCGTGTACAGTGACACATGTAAAAAGTACCTGGTGGTCTCGATAGAGAGTTGTAGGAAATGTCTGAAGTTCAACGCAGAAAAGAGAAGTTGCGATTATCCCGAAAACGTACCAGAATGTACTTATAGCGATTCGAGTCTAGGATACTTCAATTTGAAATATGAACAAAGAGCGTAAGTTCAAGATATTACTAAAGTACCATATTATAATCTTTAACAATTCTTCTTACAGGTACTGTACAGGTCCTGGTAAATATCCTGTTCCAGATGATTGTTCAAAGTATTACCATTGTACACAAATCGAAAACACCAACAAATACAAGCTCGAAATCAAAGAGTGCTCAAGTAATTATAATAATTATTCCTAACTTATTATACAAGGTGTCTCAGAAATAAGTGCAAGTATTTTAACTGGTAATATATTTTGATCCTAGAAACACATCTATAAAGTTTTCTTGGGAAAAAACAATTTTGAAATTTTATATTTTTCTTGACATTTTCCGGTGAATTTTAAAAAACTTTTTAGTGCCACTTGTTTATTCACCTGAAATGTCTTTAATAGCCGGATAGCGTCAGTGAATCTCAAAAGGTTGCCATTATTTTTTTAAAATTTTCAATTTAAAGTTAAATAGCTCGGTTATTTTCAATTTATTTTAAAAAATGGTAAAGAGAAAATATGTTTCTTTTGACCAGAACTAACTCCCCTTAAAATACACACACCGGAAAAGTCTAGGGATATTACAATTTTATCCAGCCATCGTCAGTAATTTTATTATTTGCATTTCTGATATAAAATTAAAATAAACAACTAGTTTACAGGACGTATTGGAAATAAAAATGCGAAATTTACCGAATTTTTCAAATTTACCTTGATTTTTATTGAACTAAAAAAATACACATACTTTATAAAAAAAAGATAAAACCATTTTTACTTAATAAAGGGTATGGCCTCCTCTACTGTTCATTACAGCCCAACATCGTCTCTCCATGCTCCTGATCAGGTTGTCGATCTCTTCTTGAGGTACAGCCTGCCACGCCGCATTCACGGCCCGAACCAGATCCCTACGAGTTTCACGAGGCATACCCATTCTCAAAATTCTTCTTTGGGCCGCGTTCCATACGTGCTCGATGGGGTTGAGGTCAGGAGATTGTGCCGGCCAGGGTAAGATGTTTAATTGATGAGCATTGATAAACTCACTTACCACTCTGGCTGAATGAGGCCGTGCATTGTCATGCATGAGAATGAAGTTTCTCCCAAAATCATTGGCATATGGTAACACGACAGGCTCAAGAATTAAATCACGATATGTGATTCCTGTTAGAAACTTTTCAAGAAAAACGAGATCAGTTTTTCGGCCTAACTGGACTCCTCCCCAGACCATAACTGTTCCACCTTGATAAGGGTGCACTTCCTGAACATGATCCAACCGAATAAGATTTCCCGGTTCTCTCCATACCCTAAGCCTTCTCGAATCCGGATGAATTCCAAAGCGTGACTCATTAGTGAAGAGAACATTGGTCCATTGTTCATTCGACCACTGAACATGATCTTGAGCCCACAAATATCGTACCTCTCGATTTCCTCTCGTTAAGGGTTGAGCTCTCCAGGGGCGTCTGCTTCTTAAGTTGACCTCTCTTAATCTATTGCGAACAATGTCAGGACTAACGGTTACATTATGTGTTTTCTGGAGAATTAAACTAAGCTCTGGTGAGGTAAGAGTCGGTCGGCGTCGAGCATTGAATTGTAAAAACTGATCTTGCTGAGGGGTAGTAATGCGATGCGAGCCCTGTGTGCCTTTCAGCAACATCACCACTTTCAGGGTAGCGTGCACTTAATCGCGATATTACACTTTGCGTTGTATTTAATGCTCTAGCTACGTCGATTTGGCGCATTCCAGCTTCGAGCATACCCATGGCCCTTAGAATTTCGTCTCTGTTAAGATGTCTACGCTCCATAATGTCGTTTAATACTAAACAGAGTTATTTGAATGAATTCTGGCCAGTCATAAAAAACATAGCCAGTACAGGTTAAATTCGAACAATTGATGCTAGGCGCATTTTATACATTTGACAAAAAATGCATAAACACTTCTGCAAATATCCCAAATTTAGAAATAACTAGTGTGACTACTTCGTTTCAATCGAAGTAGAAAGAATCGGCCTACAAATATCTGGTTGTTTATTCAAAACATTTATTTTTAACTTTAATAAAATTATATCCCTAGATTTTTCCGGTGTGCGTGTACTTGCACTTATTTCTGGGACACCCTGTATACAGGGACATAGAACTACTACTGGTCTGTTAAAAGATCGTTCAACGTTACGTCATCATTATTTGTCAAATATGAGTTTTAAGGTGTGTTTATCAGTTATATTATTTAGAAAATTTTGACTACGTCCTGAAATTATTAATTGAGTGAATTTCGTTTTTGTTAAATTCATGTAGGGTATGTTAAACCTTTATTCATTTTGATTGTTTCTCAATATATTATTTTAGGCGTTTTTTTCTTACCTTCCCCCCTCATATACAGGGTGGCGCACCTCATTCGCCTCGGTTGATTATAAGAAAACGGAAAGATGTAGAAAAAAAAATATGGGTATATGTAGAGAGGCAATGTGCATAATTTAAAATTATTTTCAAATGTACAGGGTGTGTCAGAACTAAGATCCATACCAAAGTTTTATCTTTTCTTATAGAACGCCCGGTATTTTACTTCATTTTTGGATTCTTGGGCATAAAATAAGGATTTAATATATTTAAAAGCTTTGGTTTTTGAGTAATTTAAAAATATTTAAATATGCATGCTATAATAAAAATGTTTGTCAACACCCTGTACATTACTTTTCAGAGTTAATTCTTGTGCTGCCTTTGAAGCCAGAGAAATAAACTTTACTAAAAAATTGTATTGCTTCCTTAAATGTATACAGGGATATCAAAAATTGCTGGTCTATTTTATATATTTATTTTACATAAAAACTTTGTTATTTCAAATAGAACACCCTATATTTCTTCAAGTTTATCGAAGCAGATTTAAATGCTCTTTCAAACTATATTAGGGTTTCCTATACCTATCTGGCTCAGATTTTGAATAAAAAGCGATTTCAATAAAAGGGCAATCAAGTTGGCCGGTGTCGCCATGGCAATTTGTTGGTGACAGTTAGTAGCTATTTTTAAAATCGACAAGAGTTTATGGACTTTATTTAAATTTACCTACAATAATTTAAATAAATAAGTATTTATTATTTTATCAAGAAAAATAAAGAAGTAGTTATTTCGTTTATATTACGATGATTTGTAGATATATTAGATTTTCTATAGAGAACCAATTAAGGCAAACTCATTTTCTTCACTTCCAACGACAGGTTTCTGCCTAATAGGTTTTTCATATACCACTCTATTGCGAAATAGGAAAAGTAGTTTTTCAAAGGAACGCTTGTCATGAAAATTCCTATTTGGATATCTTTGAGCATAAACTCTTCAGGCCAACAAGCAATGGGGTCTTTCACTATATTTTGGAATTAGCATAATTAAATAAAGCAATTAGTGCCCCAATCTCAAGGTGTGGGTTCGATTCCCACACCCGACATTTCATCAGCCGACTATTTTTATTAAAATAAAAATAGTTTGGGTACCTAGGTCGACTCAGCCTTAAATGAGTACTTGGGATTCACAATCCTGGGGTAATAATAGGCGGTTGAAGCGTAGTGCTAGCCACATTACCTTCCTTGTATACCGAACGGCTCTAGCATGGCAAGTTGTGCCTTGCTACTCAAACACTATATACGGGAGCTATTATTATTAAATAAAGCAATTAATTCTAGAATTTTCTGCTATCTCACTTTCGAAAAATTTGAAGTCGTTCTTAAGAAAATAAATAAAAACAAAAAAGCCCAGTATAAAAAGCCGCACTTTATTTTTAATACGTCACGCATGTTGAAAAGCGGCAACACGGCCGGGCCACCATACTGACCCACCACCACCTCCACACAAGGCCATTCAACCTTTTCCAATATGGCGGAGTTAGAAGTGCTTTATTTGGCGCGTATTTTAAAACCTGTTTTATTTCCAAATCGACATTTTTCACACAAATGTCGGGTTAGATTACGTAATATTTCACTAATTTTTATAATATACAGGGAGTCTAAAGCTCTCCACATAAGTATGGAATTTTTTGTATTATTACTTTTATGAAAACATCAGTTAGTTACTTTTTATAAAAAGGTCTGCTTTCTCAGAAAATAGGTAGGTAGTGTACTAGTGTGTAAATATTCAAACTTGAGGTAGCATATATAGGGTGTTCAAAATCATCGGAAAAAGAAATAACCAGAAATATATAACAGAAAATAGCAATATAAACTAAATATTCAATTGCAAACACTTACCTACCACAGTTTAGAATTTACTGCACGTTTGATAAATATATACTCTTATGGACAGTATAGGAAGTTACTTGTCTTAGTAAAAGCCTTGGTAAATGCTCTTGGAATTATAAACTACACTGCCTTGGGTCAAAAAATATGGAATATTTTTTCTATATTTTGCAGCATTACACAAATGGGAATAAATTTAAACTATAATAGGTGAGGATAACTAAAAAATATAATATGTGTTTCAAGATTTTATATAGAAAAAAAACTAAATACCTTTTTATAACGTCATTTCTTTTTTTTTTCATAGTTCTTCAATAAAATATTGGATATTCTGAACAAGATGGATCTAATAATAAATTCTGACGTATGTGAGGGGCAATTGTGCAATCTAAAAAAAAGACTTACATCCAGGCCATTTATATTTTCAAATGTGAATGTTGTCAATATCTTTCTGTGATCTTTTGATGTAAAAAGCTTGACTATTCTCCCAATATTTTACTTATAGTAAGGTAAGTGTAAGCAGTAGCCATAACTACATCCTCACTAGGGTAACAGATGCTTTGGCCTTTGACCTTTTTGAGGCATATTTAATGCACTTCTTACCCGAGAACTACCAGTAGGAGTGAAATTATCTCTTTCAATAGCTGTCAACCATTTTTTACGAAACTCGTAATTTTTGAGGAATATAAAAGCAGAAACCTTGGGACCCCCTCTATAATTCTCGTGACAATTTGGAACAGAACATGTAAAAGGTATGCTACAATAAAATGTTAATACCTACCCTTTAATACCTATCTTTTGATTATTGTAAGTAACCATTATAAAGTACTATGCAGACTGGACGACTCATTTAGGTGTAATATCTTGATAAATACTTCTAGTTCTTACCTTAAAATAATTAATAATAGAGGAGTACGACAAGCACAAAAGTTTGAAGTTCTCTATGTGGAATGTCTGGTTTGGATTTTTATTACACTGTTATTTTATCACAATTTTCTGATCACACCATGCACTGAACACTAAGAACTAAACAAACGTGTTGCAGAAGCACAACAAACTAGAGATAATTAATTATTTATGGTATGCAATCGGAACGAGAAACCACTACCAGCTTTTCAGGTTAAAGGTAAACAATTTAATAATGCGCTGCCTTCGTCGCCATATTTGCCTTGCCCATATCATGTTGATTGGCCTTGAGTTGAGGTGGTGCTGGTCAAATCAAATCGCAATGTTGCCAGTTGTTGGCTGGCGCACAAAGTTTCGATGTCATGGAACTATTTTTTTTGGATAAATATACTGAAAATAGTCTTCTATTTCAGATTTTATCCTTAAATTGGGTATATAATTTTTTGTGAAAGAGCCCATTGTCCTCACAAAATAAAACTGCTACACTAGTAACATATATCCATTCCTTCCGCCAGCAGATACTGCTTCATTTTTCTTGGTGAAATAATAAATATTTATTAACCTTATTGAAGGTAAATTAAATAAAAATAACATGTATACATTTAAGAAAGGAATCAAATTTTATAGTAAAGTTTATTTCTTTGGCATAAAAGTCAGCACAAGAATTAACTCTGAAAAGTAATGTACAGGGTGTTGACAAACTTTTTTATTATAGTCTGCATATTTAAATACCTTTAAATATCTCAAAAACAAAAACTTTTAAACATATTAAACCCTTATAATAAATGCCTTATTTTATGTCCATGAATCCAAAAATGAAATAAAATACCGAGTGTTCCATAAGAAAAAATGTAACTCTGGTATGGATCTTAGTTCTGACACATCCTGTACATTTCAAAATAATTTTAAATTATGCACATTGCCTTCCCACATACACCCATAAAATATTTGGTTTCTACATCTTTCCGTTTTCGTATAATCAACCGAGGCGAATGAGGTGCGCCACCCTGTATATACAATCTACATCTATTTTACATGAGGGGCCATTAGGTCTGAAAAATATGCCCCTATTTTTTGTCATTGGTTCACTCAAAATATGTATCGTATCATCGCTTTAATTTTAATTCCAAAATATGTAGTACTTCTATGTCCCCAGAATACTGAAACACCCTGTATACTATTTATCGATTATATTATGTTTTAGAAAAATATATTTTTCCGACAAAATTTAATCCAAAAACCCAGAGTTGCGACGTGGTAGCCACATGCCCAAAGTTGAAAGGAAGATGTATAGATAACATAGCCATAGACAATTACAGCTGCGAAAAATTTTACTATTGCAAAGAAAAGCATTCCCTGTTTTGTCCGTCCAACTATATTTTCAATGGGAGCTACTGTCAGTATAGAAAGATTACTTGCATACACCCTTGTACATTGTAATTTGTTTATCTGGTAATTAATATAATTATTGTAATTAAATTATTCGTGTGTAATAAATAAAATTTGAATATTTAATAAAAAAAAGTATCTCTTTTTGTTCAGGATTTTTGTTTGACCACCCTTAGGCTAGATGAACACAGAAAAAGCAAAATTGTATTAGTCAAAAACAATTTTGACTCTGGCAAACCACTCTAAGCCACCCTGTATATGTATGTATGTGGGGACTTTACTCGATTTTTTTACATATCTCGAGACATCTTTGGGTGAGAAGCTTAACTTTAACGCTACCATAGAGTAAACAACCTAAATTTGCCACATTATCAAGTTTCGCGACTATTATCTTCTGTGGTCATGACGTGACCTCCAAAATAACCTCACTTTTTGTTTATAAAATAAGTAAACTCAATTTTTAATGATTTTAAACGTTTCTGTTAATGTACTTGTAAAAATATATCATGTAAATAGAAATACAAAAAGAAAATAACACAATTTTATCAATCGTAAACATAAGTGACGTGTAATATCAAGATATTCGTAATTATAAAAACGTACATAGGATGGCCGACAAAGTTAAAATGTAAGTAAATTAACTCACCATTTTGGAGGATTCTGGTTGTTCTAACTACACAAAAACCACTAACTAATTACTATCGAAAAGTTACACGTATTTTATTAATTAATAATCCCGTTACTTTACCGTTTGTGATCAAAATAACAACCGCACTTTTTCTGTCATTTTTTATGTCACATTTGTATACAAAAATCTTGTCATATCCTTTTCAAAATTTAATTTTTGTATGCCAATTTCCACAAATAACTATTCCTTTTAATTTGTTAGATTGTTGTGTGGAGATGCTGAAGGAAAGTTTGATGCATTATTTAAAAGGGTTGATACAATCAACAAGAAATCTGGACCATTTGACTTGCTTCTCTGTGTTGGTAATTTTTTTGGCATCAACAATAAAGAGTTCGGACCTTATAGGATTGGTGACAAGAAAGGTTTGTATTTTCTATTTCTATCTTTACCTGTAGTGCAGCTTTTTTAATTACTATTTTACATATTATTACTTCTAGCCCCAGTTGCAACATATATATTGGGTCCAAATAAGCAAGACCATATAGATTTATATCCAAACGATGATTTACACAATGAGTTAAGTACAAATGTATATTATTTAGGTATGTTATAGAAGTAATTATTTTTATTTAGTAAAGTTTTAGTTTAGTATAATAGAACATTGTTTTTCACAGGTAAAAGAGGCATTTTTACTGATAGTAAAGGACTAAAAATTGCATATATTAGTGGAATAGCAAGTTCAAATGAAAATGGTCCATGGACTTATAACGAATCAGATATCTCTGAACTTTGTGATATTGCTTTAAAAGGGAATCCATCTTTTAAAGGAGTTGATATTTTGTTAACGTCACAATGGCCTGCTGATATTGTAGAACAAAAAGTATGTTACTATTAATCAATTTACATAAAGAAAAAATGCATAAAAATGTTTTTTTTTAGGATAAATTGGATGTCACTCAGCAGTCAGAATTGCTGAGTTATTTATGTATGAAACTGAAACCGAGATATGTTATCAGTGCTTTGGAGGGTATATATTATGAGAGAGCCCCATTTAGATGTCCAAATTTAAGTGATAATGATATGGAAATAGCGACAAGATTTATAGGTATTATGTGTAAAAGATTTTAATATTTTTGTCTTTCCATAGTCCAGCCCGGGCAAGCTTTCCCAAAAAATCCGGGCAAAATGCGGACGTCATAATTTTTTAGCGATATAAGAGCCAAAAATGGTATATTTTATTAGGAGTAAAAATGATACCTACTTTTGTGGTGAGGCTGTAAGTTTGACAATACAGGCGAGGCACAAAAAGTAATTTTTACTCCGAATAGAACATGCTATTTTTTTTGAAAGGACACAAATAATTTTTTATACAATTTGAAACGTCCCAAATAATATAAAGAGATTTAAAAACTACCTTGTAAGTAATTATATATCGAGAAACTATTGTTACGCTTGTTGAATTTGACATTTTATGTCAGTTTAAGAATATATTTTCTTACTTTTCTGGGCGTAAAAGTGATTTATGCCTAGGCGTTAAAATGACGTTTTTGCGTTGTCAATCGGGGCGGGAAAGTGAAATAGCAAAAGCGGTTCCACCGTTTCCACGGAAATTTCAAATAAAATAATTCCAGCCTCAGACGCTAGGTGGTAGTGCAATTAATTTTTAGGTTAAGAAGTTGCTACTAATTATTGCCAGATGGCGTTAAATCAGAATTTTTTTGTAGTTTCCATAGTTTCCAACGGCCATTGTCATACTATTGTCAAATTCTCAAAAAATATTGTCGTTGTCATAGCGCCAATCATAATATTATCAAATGATTTTCAACACAAAACATCCCCCTTTAGAACTTCGTCTATCATGTTAAGAAATAAAAGTAAATAATAAAGCGCCTCTCGTGTTTGTTCGCACTCAAAAAATTTCAATTAATGCCTGTATATATTTTTAATATATTTTTTAAATTTACATTTTTTTAATTGTAAAGTAATATATTACATTTAAATGGAGTACATTACATAACAATCATGTTAATTACAGGATTACAAGCTTGTTTTCTAACATTTTTCAAATAAAACGAATTATAAATTTTCAATATATGTATGTATATTTGTCGTAGGTATAAAAAAAGTAAAATATAAAATGGACAAACGCTTACTTACATTGCAATAAAACTTCCACTTTTAGTTTTGCAATCCAAACGCAATATTTCTATTTCACAAATAAAAATATCCGACAACACTAAAATCACTGAAACTTCCGTGGCTTACAACGAAAAATATAACGGCACTTTTTGTTTTAGACCTGTTTATCAACATTATGCTGTACTATTATGTGTTTGTTGTTGAAGTAATATAAAATATCTAATTAGAACTTGTAAATTTTAATATTTTAACATGATTTTAACTACTTTTGACAATAGCTAACTTTTTGTTATCAAGATGACATTTTAGACGGCAACTGACATAAATGTCATAATATTTGAATCGTAAATATGTATGTAATATAATTTAAATTACTATAATGCAACTTTATACTAAGAAAACATTTATACATTCACAAAATACAACAAAGTCTAATAATATAGTTTGAAAACAATGAATATTGAATTAAAATTGAAAAAGTTAAGCGCGACCCCTTGTGTCAAAATTAGATGATTAAATTTTCGCAATTTTTACACCATTTTATGACCGGTGGCGCCTCTAGTGTTTGTTCGGGCGGTTGGGCTTTTACTCCCGCTTATGGCCATTAAAGAAAAAGTTCTAAAGGAGGATGTTTTGTAATTATCAAAACGTTTTTCAAACTATTATAAATAGGTATGTGTTTTAATTAGACAATTCCTTTTGTTTGTGGCTCTAAAAATATAATGTAAGTCTTTTATTTTTGCCATTATTTAAGTACCTATTTATATTTACTCTATTTACAAAACTTTGGGCGTATTACGTGTCTTGTTTTATTATAATAAACGATGTTTAAATATTAGACTTATAAATAAAAACTTTAAATAATAAATAATATTTACACATGTTTCGCTTTAATTTTATTTAATAATTGTATAAATTATACTGTTAAATCTTATTTTTTACACATCACAACGATACTTGTGACTAGTATTGTTGAATTTGTGTAAAAAATAAGATTTAATAATCAAATTTAATTATTTTAGAGTAAAATTCAATAAATACGCTCATTTAAAAAGCCCGCGCTTTGATCCATTTAAAACAAGCCCTACTCAGTAGATGGCGCCACTTCTGTAGGACCATTTTTCAGTATAGCAGAGTCCATTCTTTTTCTAGCTAGGTATATTTCACGTATATTAGAGAAAAACGGCATACGGTCGAGTCGGCCGCTCCTGGCACGTATACGTAGACGTAAAGAATCTTTTACGTGTATAAAAAATAGAAAATATAAGAAATGCGCATGTGTACGTAAACGTTTACGTGTTTGTAGGCCGATTCGACCGTATGCCGTTGTTCTCTATTCTTTGTTGTCAATCACGTCGCAAAAATTAATACTTCTGTGGCGTTTAAAAAAAATACATTTATAACTTTCAAAACTTAAAACATACGAAGTAAAATAATGAATTTATACTGCTGAATCTAACGACGATTTTTTAAGTAACTAATTTTATTAAAACTAATACATGCAACATTTCTTAACATGTCCGGATTAATCCGGACATCTGGTAACCCTATTCTCGTTCGTTATCAGGGAACGTTCTCAAACAAAAAAAAATCCAGCATTTCAATACACTAATTAAGATTAATGTGCATTTTTAGGTTTGGCAAGAGTAGGTAATCCTAAAAAAGACAAATGGTTGTATGCTTTAAATTTGACACCAATGGAAAAGATGAAAATTGCCGAATTACTTCAGAAAACAACCGACGAGACGCCTTGTCCATTTAATTTCTTCGATTTAGAAGGAAAAAGTAACTTGAATAATAAATTATCTGTATCTATAAGTAGGGATGGGCGATAATGGATTTTACCTGTCGATAAGTTATCGCAATTCACCTATCAATATGTCGGTAATTATCGATAGTTATTAATTACAACTATCGATATAGATATCATATGTCAACTTTTGACATTTTTGCTTAATAAAAAATCGTATTTTAAATTGCAATCTAGAGTGCCATGGCTAAAAATACTAATTTACAATGAAGGAGCCTTTTTCTCTCCTTTTTCAAGAAGAATAATTTGATACCACACACATTTGAGTCAAATTTTTGTTACGAACCGCATGTTATAATTTCAAATAAATTGTATGCAAAAATGTCAAAAGTTGACATATGAAATGTCATTCTATTCAGAGTGTTATTTTCTGTCCAATAAAGTAAAAAAATACCAAAGGTGCAATTTAAAAATCAAAAGTTGTAGTCATTTCCGGTGAGACAGGAAGTTACCGAAAACAATTGAATACGTCTATCAATCCTAATTTATCATATACTAACATAACAAATCTCGTTTTTTTTAACTGAAAAAATAAAAAAGTTATAGGGGTGAGCCGCTTTTGAAACGCACCCGGTATAATAATTTTGAAATGGTCAACTATAATTAGATTTTTTAAAAAGATAAATAAAAATATACCCACAAAAGTAATTTTCGATATATCGATAGTTATCAATAACAGATAGATACTTCTGGAAATGCGGTCAATATATCGATAGGTGACGATATATCGTTATAGGTATCGATATATCAATGTATCAATAATTTTGAAGTCGTGTACGTTATTTGATATGTCGATAACTATCGATAGTTATCTCTATATTGGAAAAAATATCATCTCTAATGTAAATATAAAAATGTTAAGGAAAACCTTTGAATAAGAAGACTAAGGAAGGAGCATATCAAAAATCTTAGGTACACCGCGATGGGCCTCAAATATGGCCGACTTAAATTCCGGTTTATCAGTGCCGTTCTAATTTTATTTAAAAAATGTAAAACTATGATGTAGGGTAGACGTGGGGTAGACTAAATAATTTGTTATTTTATTTTACGTTGTGAATAAATGTTGGTAGTTATTAAAATTGTTATAAAAATATATAATTTCTAATAAAAATAGATAAGTTATAATAAGTATTTGTTAACACAAACATCCGATACGCTACTGAAGCTGGTAAGTCAAATTAACGTATCAAAATTCTTTGACATCTGATCTTTGACAAGTAGTAAATAAAAGCTAAAATGCAAGAAAAATATATAATTTAATTAATTTAAGTGAATTTCATAAATGATCGGTTTACTACACGTATGTATATTCTATAGTCACTTGCTAGCGAAAAGTTGTTCCATTATTTCACTCAATTTTTGCCGAGATCTACCGCACGCTACACAACCAACTATTTTAGAGTCTTTTTCGATAAATCGCGATAGTGTCACTGTTAATTTAAGTTCTGCCACAAGATTTACTACCATTATACAACTATCAGTAGTAGAATACATAATAAATAACATAAAATAAGCTCCGTAAAGACTGACAAATCCACAAAATTTAAATCAAATTCAAATATGTCAAATGAATCGTCAAACAGAACTGTCAAGGATTCCCACCCTAGAGTGCTTTTTCCGCCCACCATGCATGAATACATGGATAGCATTATGCTCCTTCCTTAGTCTTCTTATTCAAAGAGGAAAACTGAAATATAATAGACCTTATTTTATACATTAATTCTCAAATGTTTAACATAATATTCATATTTTTAAAAAGGTAAACAAAAATATACCAACAAACATATCAATAACAGATACTTCTGAAGATGATGTCAATACATTGATAGGGGACGATATATCGATAGATGGTACTCTAAAATTATCGATACTTATCGATAGGTATCGATAATTTTCAATAATAGATTTAAAAATATAGTAGGGAATTTTCGTTGCTTTAAAAAAATTCAACGGTACGGTTAACGGATACGTAACCATAACCGCTATTTTGACAGATAAAAAAACAGTTTTCGGACTTTCGGTTCATCGGTTCGGAGCCGACATACGATACGATAACCGAAAACTGACAGCTAAGCACAGCCCGTAGCGTAGTGTTTTGATTTTTGGTTTTTGTATTGTTGTTTGATTTGGAAGTGCTTTATATGACTTTATTGGGTATCGCTATATAGGATGGACAATTTAATTTTATTGGACTCTAGTGATAAATCGGATTTGGAGGATGCTATGCTGTTGGAAGGGTTTGAAAATAACATCGAATATCGAGCAGAACTTTATGGGGAGTTCAACCTAGAAATATTATTTGACCAAGAGTGCAAAGCTAACTTCCGCTTTGAAAAAAAAAAGACATTCCTCGATTAGTTGAAGCACTAAGAATTCCCAACGAGTTTAACACAGATAAAATAAATAATCAAAACATAAACAAAATAGAATGATGTTAGGTTAGATCTGTATTTTTCAATGTTGTGTTTCTACTGCGCTAGTGCGCATGCGTACCGCTATGTTAACGGCTTTGGCTAACGTCCGTAAAATATCGGCAGCTAGCGGTTACGATATACGATAATCGAAATTGAAATGTCAAAGTTGTCAATTAGCGTTAACCGGAATTGCAATTTGTAAGCAACGAAAACTCCCTAGTAACTTAAAATAGACACTTAAAATTATTAGTTATTGATTATCGATATTCCAGGAGAAATTCCCCATCCCTATCTAGAGTTGAAAATTGGTTAAAATTTTAATTTTGTTAATTTTTATAGTATTTAAATCGAAAAAACGGAAAAATCCCGGTCATCAACAGTATTTTTACGACATGAATGCCCCGATGGACGACCAAAAGAAGAAAAGCAAACAGAAGAAAGCGAGAATCGAATTCGACCAGGACAAGTGTTGGTTTTGTTTGGCCAGCCCTACTTTCGACAAGCATTTGGTTATCAGTATTGGAGAGTTTTGCTACCTGGCTTTAACAAAAGGTAAGCAATTTCTACTTATAGAGAGATTCTGGAGTGTAGAGGTCAGGGGAAATATCTTCATGCATTAAATATGGTCATAAAAAAAGGAAGACTTAAGATGGCGCTGCTGTAGCAAAAGCCTAAAATTATTTAAAATATGGGGCGAAAATGTTTAGAACCCTTTTTTTCAGGTGGTATAGTCGAAGAACATTTTATGATAAGTCCACTAACGCACTTTCAGAGCAGTTTGGCTTGTACGGTGGAGATACAAAAAGAGATGGCGAAATTTAAGAAGGCTTTACGCAAGTTTTATGCGAGAAATGAAAATGTACCGGTGTTTTTCGAAAGAAACTACAAAACTTCTCACATGCAACTTCAAGCGATTCCAATACCAAAACAGGCAGTTAGAGAATTGCAGGAGATTTTTATGGTAAGTTGTCGTAAGTGCAACAAACATACAGTCGGTCCAGTAAGAACGGAATATCTTTTTTACTCAGGGATGGGTGACTAAAAACTGTTTTTTACGTGTAAAAAATATACTTTTTTACGCGCTAGGTTTTTACAGTATTTTAGGGCGTCTATTAATACAAAACGTCACATTCAAAAAATCTATAAAAAAATAACTATTTCTTATTTTAAAACTTATAGAAACTAAGTATACAGGGGTCCGGCAATAGTGCGTCGGGCATCTGTAGCTCCTAGAATAAAAAACTTGAGAATTTTGTTAAAGTGCAAACCTAAAGTATGTACCAGGATGTATTTCAGGAAAATATTTTAACTTCTATAGGGTGGCTCAAAAAAGTGTGAGTGGACCTGGATGATTTTTTTTAAATGGAACACCCTGTATATTATGCATCCTTTCAGAGTACTTTACATAACCCTAAGATATGAAATAAATATGTTTCGATAGTTAGAGAGATATTAAAAAATAAATCAAAAATATATATTTTTCAGCCCTTCTTAAAAAAATTATTAAAAATACAAGAACTGTTCTGAAATCAAAACTATATGAGGTATTTACTTTAGATGGTCTGTTCTTACTTTGCTATAAATATGGTAATCGTAAATCATACAGGATGTTCAATATTCAACGCCAAACTTTCTAAAATATAAAATAATTTTTGTATATTAACCCTGTATATTATTTTTTTATTAAATGGAGAGTTAAAGTGTGGTTTAGGTATGTGGATGATATTTTTAATACCCTGAACTTTACCAATATTTTCTTAACACCAAAGAAACGAGAATAAATTTAGAAGAAAAACTCACATTAATATGTGCCGGTTATTTTTTATGCTGTTTTGACACACATTCAGACACCATAGATAATTTTATTTCTAAGATTAAATAATCGTTTTTTTCCATTAAATTTACTCATGCAAAATTGAGAACAACTTTTGTTTAGATTACCATTTCTAGATGTATTAGTTATTAGAAATAATTTGAATAATTGCTAAAGAATTTTGATATCTATAGGAAAATACGACCACACGCAGGTATATTCCTAATGAATCACATCATAGTGTTGAACATAAAATGGCTAGTTTAAATTTCTTGTTCATTTAGATTACTTAGTTTCCCACTTTCCAACGAAAGATATGAAATAGAAAAGAGATTACATTAGGAATGTAGCTGAGTGTAATGGATATTCTCACTTCACTAGTTGATAAATTAATTAGAAAACGTGGGTATAGTTAATGATTTCTGAAAATTCGACTTTTCAAGTGAGAGAAAGATACGTCTAGACTATTTTCGATACCGTTTGATAGAGAGAGTTAACCCGTGGTCTAAAGGAATTTTTTAAGAATGTCCAATTATAAATATAGATTATAAAATATTTGATCATATATGATCAAAATAATTTTTTTCGATATATTGAGTTTTGGCCAAATTTTTATAAGGGAGGGAACTACTGTGAGTCGGTCCAGTAAGAACGGAATATCTGTGTATAGTGCTAATAATAAATTACAACAATTATTAGGTAATCAAAAGGATAAAACATCTCCACTGGAAAGGTCGGGTATTTATGAAATTTCTTGTAAAGATTGTAATCAGAAATATGTTGGGCAAACTATAAGATCAATATTAACTAGATTTAAAGAACATTTAGCTCAGATAAGATATGGTAGACCGGATAAATCTTGCGTTGCCGAACATATTGATTGATAAAGAGGCATTGTATAGATCACTTAATAATTCTAAAATTAATTAAACAAGTCTCAAATTACAGGCAATTAGATGCATATGAAAGCATCAGAATTAATAAATGTAAAGATAGCAATGAACAGAGACAACGGTACAATTCCTTCAAGTTCTTTGTTCCTACTATCTAGTGGCCGGAAATCTAACTTTACGCTCAGTTGGCTCTGACTCGGTTGGCTAGTTTTTGCCACGCGCCCACTCGGTACCCACTGGGCGAGTATATAAACGCTCAACTTGCTGATTGTACTTTAGTTTATAATCATCTGCTGAAATCAAAACCTATGAGGTATTTACTTTAGATGGTCTGTTCTTACTTTGCTATAAATATGGTAATCGTAAATCATACAGGATGTTCAATATTCAACGCCAAACTTTCTAAAATATAAAATAATTTTTCTTTGTTTTTTTAAATGGAACACCCTGTATATTATTTTTTTATTAAATGGAGAGTTAAAAAATGAACATTTTTTGTATTTAGAGTATTTCAAAATTTTTAACGGTTTCGCAGATACACGCAGTATTATTTCATATGGCGCTTTCAATGGTAAAATCGAGAGAAAAATCATTGGGTGGCTTTGATTAAAATTTACTGTGGAAAATGCCATATGAAATATAAAACCGCCAATAACTGCGAAACCGTTAAAAGTTTTAAAATACTCTAAATACAAAAAATATTTATTTTTTAATTCTTCGTCTACTGAAAAAATAATATACAGGGTGTTCCATTTAAAAAATCGAAGAAAAATTATTTTATATTTTCGAAAGTTTAGCGTAGAATTTTGAACATCCTGTATAATTTACGATTTCATATTTATAGCAAAATAAGTACAGACGATGTAAAGTAAATACCTAATATAGTTTTGATTTCAGAACAGTTCTTGTATTTTTACTATTGTTTTTAAGAAGGACTGAAAAATATATATTTTTGATTTATTTTTTAATATCTCTGAAACTATCGAAATATATTTATTCATATCTTAGGGTTATGTAAAGTGATGTGAAAGGAAGCCAAAAATGCAATAATATACAGGGTGTTCCATTTAAAAAAAAATCATCCAGGTCCACTCACACTTTTTTAAGCCACCCTATAGAAGTTAAAATATTTTCCTGAAATACATCCTGATACATAGTTTAGGTTTGCACTTAAACAAAATTCTCAAGTTTTTAATTCTAGGAGCTACAGATGCCCGACGCACTATTGCCGGACCCTGTATATCAATATAACATGTACAAATAAAAAAGTTTTAACATTGCACAGGAATAAATAAAACACAACATAAATAAAACAAAATATTAGATTAATAATAATTTTAATAATTTACAAACACTGAATTTTATACCTTAAAAAAAGTAGATTATTTACTTTAATATTAATTGTTTTAAACCAGTATCTTTTGACTTTATCTTTCTATAGTACCAAAAGGCTATTATTATTTAACTAACTGACGTCTATATTTTACAACTACACCAGTTTTTAGTACCATATACGAGATGGTACAAACTTTATTGGTGGCTAATACAACTCTCTAAGTCTATACTTACTTTTCCCTTGACTTTTCCTACACTTAACTTTAAAAAACACGTAATAATAGAAACCAAAATGCAAATGCAATATCGCAAATAGTTATCAGTTTCCAGAACACTGGATATTTGACATAATTTGACACAAATAATAACCTTTAATATGACAAGAGCTTGACAAGTTTTAAAAATCTTAAGTCGAATCCATACCTTTGAATAAGAAGACTAAGGAAGGAGCATAATGCTATCCATGTATTCATGCATGGTGGGCGGAAAAGGCACCATAAAAGCTCTCTAGGGTGGGGATCCTTGACAGTTCTGTTTGACGATTCATTTGACACATTTGAATTTGATTTGAAATTTTGTGGATTTGTCAGTCTTTACGGAGCTTATTTTTGTTATTTATTATTTATTTTACTACTGATAGTTGTATAAAGGTAGTAAATCTAGATGGAAATTGTGGCAGAACTTAAATTAACACTGACACTATCGCGATTTATCGAAAGACTCTAAAATAGTTGGTTGTGTAGCGTGCGGTAGATCTCGGCAAAAAATTGAGTGAAATAATGGAACAACTTTTCGCTAGTAAGTGACTATATAATATACATACGTGTAGTAAACCGATCATTTATGAAATTCACTTAAATTAACTAAATTATATATTTTTCTTGCATTTTAGCTTTTATTTATTACTTGTCAAAGATTAGATGTCAAAGAATTTAGATACGTTAATTTGACTTACCTGCTTCAGTAGCGTATCGGATGTTTGTGTTAATAAATACTTATTATAACTTATCTATTTTTATTAGAATTATATATTTCTATAACAATTTTAATAACTACCAACATTTATTCACAACGTAAAATAAAACAACAAATTATTGAGTCTACCCCACGTCTACCCTACATCATAGTTTTACAATTTTTAAATAAAATGTAAGACACTGATAAACCGGAATTTAAGTCGGCCATATTTGAGGCCCATCGCGGTGTACCTAAGATTTTTGATATGCTCCTTCCTTAGTCTTCTTATTCAAAGATCCATACGCATCTGCGTCCGTCCGTCGTTTATCGTTCCGTCACTCCAGTCATATTAAAACTTGCTCTGTCATTTTTGACATAAACCAATAAGACTGGTTAAAAACAAGAGATAACGCATGACGGGTTTATAATACAGGGTGGTCCGAAATGTATTCCGGAAACTATTTTATATGGGAAATGTCCTCAATCGTCATTTCCCAGCCAACTGGACACCGTTTTTTCGATCATGCGGTATATATTGACAAAAAATACTGAAAAGCACATATTTGTTTTCTACTGAAAATAATTCCAAAATAACTTACAATCTGGCAACATAGAAGATGTGCGCATGCGTAGTGTCTGTGACTATATGCAGCAAAAACTCGTTTCAAGGTCAGCCACCGGATCCACACCATTACCGTTTTTTATTAGCTTTTTTGCGTTTTTTTTTATTTTTACGTTTTACGTGAATTTTTTCCATTAATTCGTAAAAAAAGAATAGCATACAGTACAGTACATCTGCTGGATCTGTGTCTATGAAAGGAATGCGGACAAAAAACATTTAAATAAACAGCAATATATTTTATACGGCGATTTGACGAGTGCGTCACCGCAAATCGCTCCGCCCACTCACTTTATTGGCTACTTGCAAATTTGTCGAATTTTTATTGATGGGACGCGTCGTCTAATTTTTTACGAAAAACATCGAGAAAATATCGTTTCCCCTCTCACGGATACCCCGGAGCCAAGAACAGTTAACCTTAATATTAATAGTTAGTTAATTAATAATTAGTTTACCGTTCTTGCCCCGAAGCTACAGAACGGACAGACGTACTGTAAACGCTCCAAGCATGCCTATAATCATATACTTTTTTAAATATCGATATTTTAGACAGCTCTACTTTTCCAACGTCATTTTTTTTTCTGTGGTTTTTTATGTTGACAGTGACAGATTTACTTAGAAAAAATCTGTTATTTATTTTACTAGGATAGTTAATTTTTAAGACAATAATAGGCTCTTTAGAATAAGCCTCTTGTAAGTCCATATTTCGTTATATTTTTATTAATAAACAAATTGATCTCAGAGCATATTTCTATATATTTAGGTTATATTTTAGAATAATGGACAAAAATCCCCAAGATACACTTGACCAAGATTTGCAAGAGGAAGGCCAGTTTGTCGTAGACGATGTTAGCAAAATTATTAAGGATGCCATAGAAACAGTGATTGGAGGCAATAGTTATCAGCAAAATAAAGTTAACGGCTGGACAACTGCGGTAGTTGAAGCTTGTACGTCTGAATTGACCAAACTAATGAAACCGTACAAATATATCGTAACTTGCACTATAATGCAGAAAAATGGAGCTGGTTTACATACGGCTAGCTCATGCTATTGGGATAATAACACCGATGGCAGTTGTACAGTACGCTGGGAAAATAAAACCATGTTTTGTATTGTATCTGTATATGGTTTAGCTATATAAAGTTGTTTTTAGATACTCTGTTGTAGGTAAATCAAAAGGCTTTTTGACTGTTAAACACTTAGCATACACAACAAATTATAATTTAAATGTTTTTTTTGCTGACTAATACATACGTTAAGAATTCTTTCTGTGCTACTAAATAAATAACTTAATTGTAAAGACCTTTTGATGCTAGAATATCATTAAGCTATGCCTTATAGATTTAAGTTTATTAGTTTTAAGTTTTTTTTTACGATTATTGTAGGTATTTTTAAGTAAATTATTAAATTCCACATATTATTTACTAAATAAATTTATTATGTAAAATAGTTGGCCTTTAAATATACTGAAATTATGTTGAACTACACCCCATTGATAGAGAGATAAGCCAGAATTACAAATCTATACAAATTTATTAATTTTTTTATCTTATTTATCGAACGATAAGCTCCCAAGTTCGCTTAAAAAAAAGTACAACGTTGCCAATGTGCGCGTTCAGGGAACACAGCGGCTGACCGAGCGCTGAGTATTTTACTCAGCGGCTGATTGTTTTTGCGTGTAAAAAGAGACCGTTTAGGGAAACCGCTTACTCAGCCGCTGACCGTCCCTGAACGCGCCCAATGTGACAAGATATCCGGGAGTTTATAAACCCTTTGAATAAAAATATTAAGGAAAGAGCATTATCAAAAAACTTAGATCGATGGCGAGGGGGACCTAATATGGCCGATTTAAATTCCGGTTTATCAGTGCCGTTCTAATGTTATTCAAAACATGTAAAAATAGTATACAGGGTAGACTCAATAATTTGTAGTTTTATTTTACGTTGTCAAAAAATGTTGGTATATTAACCCTCTGAAACGGCACTAGCCGAATATTATAGCTTTGGATTCAACTCGTAACAATTTTCTTTCTGGTGGTATTGGCATAAAATGGTATTGGTTCTTGTATTCTTCAATCATTAGGATATTCGATAGGTAGTGGCAACAACGCGCAGAAAACATTTTCCCACCTGTCCTGTCAGTGTCAGGAAACTGTCAGTCTTCGAGCCGCTAACCGATCATTAATCATTGATCGAAACAAGGGTTTCCGTTTTTAGAAACGCCTTTAAAATTCGAAGAAGCAATGAAATACTAGCGAGACCGTTTGTGAAAAAGATATCGGTAGGAAACCGTCTAGTTTGGGCGACCGCGCCGATTTAAAGTAGGTCAGTTTCCAGTCGCGCTTTTATCGGAGGTGGCTTGATCACATCGGCGAGTCCTGTGACTCCGGGAATAAATACAAAAACTGTATTTTATTTTAGAATATTACCACAGTGTTGGTACGCTGTCGAAATCCTGTTTTTTCTGTGTGAAAACTTGACCTATCGTGAGTGAAAACTACGTGATTTGACGGTTCAATTATATGGCTGTGTTTTACTAGTAGTGACATTCAACAGAGTAATCTCTCACGAGACTTCGTGTGTGTATTCGGTTTTTTGAGCACATTCGGCACCAAAAACTAATTCAAAATTACGAAAAAACAAGGAAGTATGAGTCGTGGAGGAAGTGTGGGAACCCGCGTACAGGTTCCCGACGAGCTCAGAGAAGTTTTGCTGGAATTCACGATTAGTTATTTACTGGAGCAACCCGGCGATGTTATTTCCTATGCCGCGGATTATTTCAATAGATTAAGGGACGCCAGGTGCTCCTCGTTACTGTTCGAAGGGGCCGGGCCCTCAGACAATCTGTCCCCGGAGGATGAATCAACATTGTCTAGAGAAGAGGGTAAGTGAATTAAAATACCTACTTTTAGCGGTCAGGTTTGCCTGTCAGTTAAAACGAAAGTCCGTCTAGACCAACTTGGTCTGTACGTTTTTTATGCAATGTATTTGGTAGCTTTTTTTCGATAGCCTTTGAAAATCAGGGCTACTTTAGACCTACTATAATATTGTAAAATTCTAAATTAAGAAATTGGCGCTTATCAAGATTTTCTTCTGGACCCTTCAATTACAAAAAGTAATATTTTAATTTAAAAAAAATTATCTCCTGATTGTTTTTATTAACCCTTTTATATAATATAAAAAGAAATAATCGTGGCTAGCTAGATATATATCTGTAACGCTGCCTGGCAAATTTACAAGACAATTTGAACGATATAATTTGTTGATTTTTTATGGAACCGCGTAAATTCTAAAATAATAAACGCGGTTTTGATCCCATGCCAAACATTCTTATAAACCGCACTATTTAATTGTAAATACTTCTGTATCTCATGCAAAATAAACACCATCTGAGATATTAGAGCGCTATTAATTCCGTTTCGTTTATTTTTACACCACGGGAATCTGTTCAAGCTGCTGAGAAGTTAAAACTTATTTTTTTCACTTTCTATTTAAAATGTTATTTCTGATTTTTTTTTTGATAAAAGGAAATTATACATATAAGAAATTTCCCTTATTAATTTATCGATTTTAAATCTTTTAAATTTGATTAAAACTGCATTTTGCAAATACAGGGTGTTTCAAAAAACATGTGCCATGTCTCGTGGGGAGATTCCTCATGATAAAATATGATTTATTTCTTCTACAATAATCAACACAGGTCGAATTCAGCTTTGTTTTGTAGCTACAGGGGGTTTAAAAATTCTCTTAGGTCTTAATTTTTTTTATTAATTATATTTTTCTTCCAAGTGCTTTTAGCGATTCGAATGACATTTTGAGGGTTAAAGTTACCCTTGTCTATATATAATATAATCAAGGAAGTTACTGGAACATTTTTCTAAAAAAACCATGTGCGCCACTGACTTTTTTCTCTTGATAGCAAAATTATCTATTCTGTTTAATGCCGATTAAAAGTCTTTTGATATTTTGTCGATGTCAGTCTCCGTGAAGAGATTTTATTAATTTGCCTTAATGCAAGAATAATGGCAACCTTTAAAAAAATTTAATGTCATTAACTAGCCAAAGTGTATAAATAAGTACTCATTGATTCCTCATAAAAAAATATGAAAAAAAGTTCCTATAAACATGGGTGCGGAAATGCACAGTTCTGAAGTTACAACATGTTAAAACTCTTAAATACCATAATTTTTTTCTTAAATTTGCTGTAGGTAGCACTACTGAACATCAGAGTTATAAATTTTAATAAAATTTAATAATCAAATAATTTAAATAAATAATTTATTAATTTTATTAATTGTGATTAATAATATTGCGTTTATCTCATCAAGGAGATCGAAATCGACAAGATATCGAGATACAACTTTTAATCGACAATAAAAGGCCTAACTATTTTGCTAACAAGAAAAACAAATCAGTGGCGCACATGTTTTTTTTTTTTGGAAAAATATTTCCGCTTCCTAGTCCATGGTAAATCTGTGGAGGCTTTTTAGTACTAAAATATGTTAGGTTAGGTTAGGTTGCTGGGGTTTGGGATCATATTTGATCCCTCACTGGGAGGCATTGGGCCCATTGCGATACCCCTGTATTGTTTTACCAAACCTTCCTCTCATTCTTTCTTTGCGTTAAAGCACTTCCAGCTCTTTGCAAAGTTCCCGATGTCGCTGATGTTGGCTTCTGCTGCTTCCTCTAGTCCCTCCAAAAAACCTTGCCCTACAGTTTTAAAGCGTCGGTATTCCAGTGCCGGACAGTGGCACAGCAGGTGCTCTATGGTTTCTTCTTTCTCTCCGCATTCTCTGCAGTAGTCGTCGTCGGAAACTTTCCATCTTACGAGGTTTCCCCCGTGGGGGGGTGTCCCCCGTGGGACAGTTTCCAGTGACGACACCTACAATTATGCGTACTAGGTCCTTTTTGTGCTCTGGTAGTTGTTTTGTTTTTTTGCTATCTACCACTGGCCTTAGCATAGGGTTAAAACAAAATATAGACTACACTATTTACATCTAAACGCGGACAAACAATACAGTCGACCGAGCCTTCCTAATCCAGCCTATGTTGTCACGTCTTTAATATTATCAATATTTTTTTTCTTGTTATACACATATATTGAGATATTAATACTACATTTTAATAAAGTAGGTTTTAATATGCCATAGATGTATTAAATAGTCCTTATATACTACTAAATTATAAGTCGGATATTATTTAAAAAGGATAAGTTCTTTACATTTCGGCAACACCGATTAGAAGCGAGGTCGCCTATTCATTCATTTATTACCTTGTAGTACGCATCGCACGTGTGCGGTAAAGCTTTGTTGCCGCTATGTCCCCGGCTGTATTAACGCATTTTCTTAGCTTGTAGTCCTTAAGTGTTTATTTTATTTACTTTTTCTGTTCAAGAACTATAAAATATGGTTCGCCAGTGCCAAATTTGTAAGAAATTTGACTTAAATAATCCATTTATGTCTTGAAACGACTTTCGACTGGTAGGCAACTCTCAATTTACCCATTAGGAGTCAGTGGCGTTGTTGTAGAAGGGCGCTTATTTAGATAATATTTTAGTAAAATGTAAAATTTTTTCTCTTACATAATCATTTATATAAAGGTTTTTGTAACAAAATCATAATTATTATAACCTGTTAACAATTAATAATGTTTTTATTAAAAATATATTCCGGTTTATTCTAAAATTATCTTCAGAATCTAAAATAACATACAAGAATTTTAAAATGATATTACATTATGAAACAATATTTTTTAATATACCGGGTTCGTCTCAAAAGTGGCTCACCCCTATAACTTTTATTTTTTCAGATAAAAAAAGATTTGTATGTTAGTAGGTATATGACATAAATTAGGATTGATTGACGTATTCAGTTGTTTTGGTCTCTTCCTGTTTCACTAGAAATGATTACATCTTTTGATTTTTAAAAGCACCCTCGGTATATTGCTACTTTATTCGATAAAAAATGACACTCTGAATAGAATGACATATCATATGTCAACTTTTGACATTGTCGCTTAAAAACAAATCGTATTTTAAATTTCAATCCAGGGTGCCATGGTGTTGTTAAAAACACTAAGTTTTAATCAAGGAGCCTTGGAAAAATAGTTATGATCGTCTAATAGGTTTCGTGTCTTGTCTAGGCCGGTTAAAAGATGTACAAATCGTATTTTTAATCATATATGTCAATTTTTTCAAATTGAACAAGGGTGACTCATTAGCATATTTGGAAAAAGCATTTTTTTATGAATATATTGATACCACACACGTGGTATTTCGAGTCAAATTGTCGTTATGTTTAAAATGTCAAAAGTTGACATATGATATGTCATTCTATTCAGAGTGTCATTTTCTATCGAATAAAGTAGAAATATACCGAGGGTGCCATTCAAAAATTAAAATTTATAGTAATTTCCGGTGAAACAGGAAATGACCAAAAAACAATTGAATGCGTCAATCAACAGGAAATGACCAAAAACAATTGAATGCGTCAATCAATCCCTAATCTATGTCATATACTAACATATTAAATCTTGTTTTTTTATTTGAAAAATAAAAAAATAGGTGGATGAGCCACTTTGGGACGCACCTGGTATAATAAAGACAGTACCGAGTTAAATAAATGTAGTTTTCATTTTATCCACTTCCTATCACCTTCCTTGCTTTTAATGGAACAGATTTATGTTTTCTCTAATTTACATAAATAAGACATCATTTTAACCAGAAAAAAAATTACAATCAATCATAATTTTTTTTTTCTCTCCCTGTCGCCGATTCTATTATATCTTTGTAGAATAGATCCTGTTTTTGATTAATATTAGGGGTTGTAAATGTTTGACTAAAATTAATATTTTTTTTAATAATTTCAAAATTACGTAATTTCGATTATAAAATTCTCTTCTATAACATGGTATTTTATTATTTTATCCTTTTTGGACTCTAAGACGTGTTTTTCTAAACTTTTATTTAAGAAAAACCTCTCCTAACAATCTTAATAAATATAAAAAAGTTATATAAATTATATAACTTTTATTATATAAATATTGATATATTTTTAATTTAATTATAGCTTCATTAAAATAAAAAATTACCCGGCTATGATACGGAGAGTTCAGCAGTGGACCCCTTGAGTCACGTAGAATGTTGCATATCGTCAGAATTCTATAGATTTGCACTCCGTGCAGCAACGATATCGATAAGATGCGATATTTTGGTCGCTTGATTTCTACATTTCAATTGGTATCGAATTCTACAATAGCGCACGCGTATTGAGAATATATGTTGACATTTTTAAGAATTAGATTAAGTTATCTATTTTGTCTCAGAGAAATGGGCTATAGTCTAATCTAAGATTTTGCGCAGTCCTCACGGTGTTGCCACGTCTCTTGCTGCTTGCCTTTGATACGCAGCCAGGACAGTGCTTCTCGGCATTCCATCACAGTTTTTCGATCTCGCTGATTGCATGGTGATGCTTCTAAATAGCCAATGTCAGAGTATATCACTATATCCCCTATTGGTCTATCAACAATTTGTTTCTTCGTATACATCTAGCCGCTTTCTTTATGTGTAAACCTCTGCTTGTAGAGCATTACAGCCATCCGATAACACACTCAAAGATCGTGGGATGTCTAGTTTCCTTGACAAGATGTCAACTGTCGAGACCTGTGCTCCCCTGAATTTGCAGGAAGCATCTGTGTATGACTGCTATCTCTTGAGTGTTCATTACTCTTTTTGCTGTCCCATTCTTGTTTGTCGGGAGGCGAGTCCTTATCTTTTCTGCAAAATCATGTTTGGTGAGCATATAGTCCGTTTTCTGGTCTAGCAGATGTGGACTCGTGTTCACCATGATTTTCCCTATCACTGGCAATATCCTCGAGTTACCGTAA